ATAGTGATTTAAATATCGATAAATATGTCCACAAACTAAGTCTCAAAACGTGTCAAAACTTATACAGCGGTAAAGAATCGGCGCTTAAATGGTATCTGAGATCTGGTCCCAAGACTGGCCTCGACGTCGACGTTGAGTACGTGGACACAAAATCCGGTGATAATGCGGGCCATCATAAGACACTTTTGGCACTTCATGGCTGTCCGGGCGGTCATATGGACTACAGAGGACTCGTGCGACACTTCGGACCCAACTATCGGGTAATTGTTCCCAATTTCCCGGACTTCTCGGTCACCGACAGAACCAATGGGTTCTGGCATTCGGCTCAAGAAAAGGCACAATTCATTAGAGATATGTTGCGAGCACTCGATGTCCACACAATTGACTGTCTTCTGTGTCACTCTTCGGCTATATTTCCGGCGTCTCATCTGTGGCTCAAAGATAATGAGCTGAACCGCGACTTTGACATCAAGTCGTTGTGTCTTCTGTCAAATCCAGGGCCCAAATGGTTCACAATTAAGACTCAACTCATGGCCTCTTTGTTCGTTCATTTGTCACGTCTTCAGTCAATTCGACAGACTTTGCGTCCCATTTGGTCCAAGAAGTGGACCAAACGGGTGGGCATCAGGAATGCCATCGAAGAGTACGACTCTTTGGCACTACTTCTGTGTACTTATCTGTTGTCCGAAACCCGAACGGTTCCCAAAAGACTGAAACAGTTGACTGAAATGCAAATCCCGACGCTTTCGGTCTTCAGCTCAAAGGACAGACTCTTCAACGAAGAGATTTTCTATGATTTGTATAAACACTTGAAGACAAGTGACGACAGTTTCGATGTCTACGAAGAGCACCAAAATATTTTGGTTCAGAAGGCAAACGACTCGCATTGGCTTAAAGTGGTGGACATCAGGAGTGGAGGACATTATGTCTTCGCCACTCATTCGGCTTTAGTCCACAAATACATCGAAGAATTGCTTCAAAAAGTTCAATGATTTAGATCTCATTTTTGATTTGTTTTAAATTAGGGTTTGATTTAGATTTGATTGTTATATTCAATTATGTACCAAGGTACTAAACTTATACCGGTATTCATTTATAGTAAATATACCGTAATTTTTAATTTGCAATAAATGTTAATTGATTTAAGATTTTATAAAAACTTTTACACCTAATCTAAACTAACAAATTAATAAATTACTTAAATATAAAGTATGTTAACAGTGTTCCAGGTCACTTTAAAGTTAAAAGTTAGCTTCTAAGTTATGTACCGGTACTACAGTAGTTGATGTGAAGTGACTGTCCTACACATGTGACCACGGTATTGCACTAACATAACCATCAAGGTCTTAATGTTTATCAAAAATCCTTAACTATTTTGTATTGTAACCTATTTATCTGAAGTTGATTACAAACTTTGCACTCATTTAGCACTTAAAACAGTGTTTGAAATGATTGTTGCAATGAATGACTAAATATGTGTAACAGTAATGCATTGAATGTGCGATAGAGTGCACTGAAGCAGTCATTTGTAGTATTAGTCGTGCAGTGATTGGCTGTGTTTGTGGTGACGTGAGGTCTGATCCCAAACCAAACCATCGCTACATTTGTCGGCATTTTTACACTGAATTCAGTCTTTAATTGAATCACTATTTGGTTCACTGTTTCTCCACATCGACACACAAGCCATTGATTATCTGACAAGACATGGGTGTCCATCACGTCTCAGACAAGGTATGTACGCGTGAGATGACACGTGTGATCATTGTGGACGTGCTAATGGTGGTGACTGATGGGTGTGTTTGGTATTTAAGGCGGACTTCTCGAGTCAACTGGCTTCAGCCGGGTCCAAGTTGGTGGTGGTGGACTTCTTTGCCACGTGGTGTGGTCCGTGCAAAATGATATCTCCAGCCCTCGACAAAATGAGCGAAGAGTTGGTCGCAGACGTGGTGTTCCTGAAGGTGGATGTGGACGAGAATGAAGACATCGCCACCGACCATAAGGTGACAGTTATGCCCACATTCTTGCTCTTCAGAAATGGGCAAAAGGTGGACGAGTTTTCCGGCGCTAATGAGTCCAAACTCCGCGAACTCATCACCAAAAACAAGTAATTCATTGATATTTGCGATACACATGGTTTGAAGAATAAGTTTGTGTTTGAATTGTGATTATTGTATGAATTAACGCTTTTTATGATTTATATTCACGAAATCACTGTTTCATAGAAGTCAGCCTTAAATGAATTTAAATTTATAGCAAATATTTTTATATTTTTCAATGAAATATGTTTTTAAAAAGTTTACATTAATTGTATTTAAGTTTATGAATTAAGCTTATAATCAAAGTTTCTCTTTACATATAGTTTAGCCATTAGTTTAGTTTTAGACAGTTTTTGTCATTTAGTCTAAATTGCAATTTAATGTTAGGATTAATCAAAAATTTTTATCTATAATCTCATGATTAAAATTTTATTTTGAAATAACTTTGTACGGTATTTTATTATTATAATATGAAACTTAAATTATCTGTTCCCCCAATAAAACAGTGTTTTGCGAAATTATTAAATAAATTTCTGTACTTTTCATTGAATTAAATCTCAAAAATAAAATTTCCGCACATTTCAGACATTACATACATTTGTCGTTTTGTTTAATTTTATAATCAAATCACGTTTCTATGGATTTCTATTAATGCATATTTAACAATACAATAAAACTCGTCTAAAAACCCAGTAATCACTTTGTATTTTGTTATTAATATATACCGTAAATTAGTTTTTGTATTAGACTATTAGTAATTTATAATTACCAGACTTACTCGTATTGATAGTCTATCTAATCGTAACAAATATAAAGACATTTAATAAAAATAAATAATCGATAAATGTTAAAATGTTGTCCTTTTTGAAAGGTTTATAAATATCTCGATTTAAAGTGCGATAAGAGATTTTTTGTTCAACTTTAAAGTGCTTTTTTTAAAAATCTTATAAATTGTTAATGTTTTATAGTTTATAGTTATGTAATATTTGGTAAAATATAAATCCATTTATTGTTTTGAGTGCTATTTCTGAATTGGTTTAGGTATTTTGTAATAATAGTTTTATCGTAAAATAACGGTACAAATATTGATTGAATAATTGATCCTCACAAAAGTACAGTATTATAGAAAAATACATAAAATTATGTGAAACTAAAACTTTATTAAGAATCTTATGGTTTGATTCTCATGTCATAAGTGGAGTTATGTAATGAATATATGTACAGGTATTTTATTAGACAATATTTTATATTTCATATAATATACAATATTACGGATTAGATTGTAATGAAATAAAGTCAAACTCATTGTAATGACAGTACGATATACCGTAATAACAGAATAGCCTTGAATTGACGATTAAATCACTTAAAGCCTGTTTGGGGAGGCGTTTATACATACGATACAAATGCTAAACACTTTAATCAATATTTTTATTTCAAATAATTAATTCAAAGTTTTTGTTTGCTTTGTATTTTTACACCTATATTCGTTTTTATTCAAGTATCACATCATTAAATAAGCATTTTGTTTATTAAACTACATTTACTAAAAGTAAATAGGAGAATGTGCAAGGTAGCATTATGCATACATATTTGCAAATATGGTTTCGACTAACTATACCTCCTTTGAATACTTAACATGAAATGAAAATCAAATTGAAATTTGAGGACAATTTTGCAATATTTTCGAGAGAATGTCCGATAGTTGTGGCGATAGTAACGGATGCATTGAACTGACGAAGAATGAGAAGACGGGAATCGCCACCATTTGTATCAGTAATTACAAGAAGAGGAATGCATTGAACGATAAACTGGTGGAACAGTTATCTCAAGCGATCACTCAATTGGAAGAATGGCCTACAGTTAAGACAAGTGCTTATTGTGTGACATAACTAATGAGATAATGTTTTAGGGAAAGGCTGTTATCATATACGGCAAGAATGGGTT